ATATACACATGTATATATCAGATGAGGTGACGGGGCCAGCATCAGTTACCATGGAGATCAGTTGGTTCAAATTGGGCTTACTTCCAGATTCAGTAAACTACCGTCTCTCAGAATTTTCTCTGTTCTTATGTGTTTTTAACTTACATACAAAAAAAGTCAGGATATAAGGTTTTCGGTGGGTAAAAATCAAATAATTAATATTAATTCACCGCCGTTTTGAACGTGTACACAAGCAGCAAGCTACACGGTGCAGGGCACAGAGAACTTCCGGGTCAGGCCACTTGTCAAAAATGAACTCATGAAAATCGAAACTGAGCGCTCGTTATCCGTTTTTTTTTTTTCTTCCATTTTTGTTTTGTGCACAACATCGGAAATCAGATTATGGTTTGTCATCTGATTTTTTGTTTTGGTTTAATAAACAGCCGGCTTGGGACCCGAGAGTCCCAGGTTCGATCCCCAGTCACTGCACATCACGTGGCGTCTCTGGGCAGCACGTCTAATCCCCAAAATGTCCCCCGGGCGCTTTCATTAGCTGCCCACTGCACCACCTGGTGGTGGATGGGTTAAATGCAGAGACTAATTTCGCCATTGTATGGAAACATACAGTGCTGACATTGTGATGACATTATTATTATTATTATAAACGAAAAACAAAAAAAACAAATGTGTTTTTGTTTTTTTATTTTTTGTTGCAAACTAACACATGAACTGCCTGAATGTACACGGACCGAACAGCTTCTAAAATGAGGCTGTTAGGTCGTTTTCACAGCTGATAGTCCGGTAGACTCGGTTCGGTTCGGTTCGGTACCAATATTCATGACCTTTTGTTTACATTTGAGCTGGTGCGTTTGCATTCACACTGCACTGTGCAGTCGAGTCAACCTGTTGAACCAACCTGTTCCCCCGCTCGTCTGTGGGGGCGCTGCACCAAGAACTACTGAAGGAAACGACACAAAACCTCTGAAGACACTTCTTCTTCTTCTTCTGTAAATAAAAATAAAAACGAAGTGGCATCAAGTTTTAGCAGTTTTAGGAGTTTTATTTTGTCATTTTTCAAAAATGGACTCAGCATGAGCAGAAGATGAGACAGAAGACCATGGAGAATATTGTTCTATTTCATATAGGCTTCACCCTTTAAGGCTGTCGCTGATGGGTTTATCCCGTTATGCAGAGCATAAGCACTGAAAAAAAATTAGTCCACGCCCACCTGCTGTGTGGGCCCCACCCGGTCCGTATAAATTACGTTAAGAGCGGGAAATCGGCTCCCATTTTTTTCTTCAGCGAGCTAATATAGCACTGTCAGAAGAACAAAGAAGATAAATTGTGTAAATGACCAACCTTTGCGAAAGATGCTTGGCCCGGCAGTCGACCTCCGGTCGTCCGGTGAGTTCTCCTCCCCGAGGAGAAGATGACAGCAGTCTTATTCCAAGGTAAGCGTCGTGGAACTTTTCCCAGTGACAGGTCACTACACGCTGGACAACGCCATCTTGTGTTTTTCCTCTTATCGCCGACCCTCGGGGCGAACCGGATGGTTCCTCCGGGGCAAGGCGTGCTCAGCTGCAGCCCCGCTGCTCTTTCCCTCCTGGGGAGCGTAGTGTAGGTGGAGGGGGGCTGAGTGAATGCTCACCCCATCCCACCTCGTTTCGCATCGGCGATCACACCGCTCCCGGCCGACGGCGCCCTCAGGGGTTGCCCGGCGGAACCCAGGAGAAGGCTGACATGAAGGGACCCCTTTTTTCTACGTCCCTCGCCTTTTCCCGCCAGTTCGGATGATCGGCGGAAAGGTTATTTTTCACTGGGCTCCACTCTGGCTCACCGTCTTGATCCATACGGCCTCGCGTTCCAACAGGACGTTCCACGGGCGAGGCCGCAGACGGTTCTTTCCTGGTAGATTAGAGGAGTCGGTCCCCAGTCCGCTCCCATCACCAGAGTTGAGGGATTCACCGAGCGGGGCTATTCCTCGGTAACCCCCCCTGGAGCCAAGCCTCGCGGAAGCTTCCGGAGCGAAGCTGCCCAGGTCGGAGCAGCGTCCCGTCCCTCCGGAGGAACCAGACGGCGACCACGCTCTCCAATCGAGCCCACCGACGTGTTTTCAGGCAGCCGCAGTTAGCAACAACGTGCGCTGCTAGCATATAGCATGTCCAAGGGACTGAAGGCCGCAGACCTGCCTTGGAGATGAAGAACTCCCTCTGTAAGGCAGCTGACGCTATTCCTCGGTACACCCCCCTGGTGCCAAGCCTCGCGGAAGCTTCCGGAGCGAAGCTGCCCAGGTCGGAGCAGCGTCCCGTCCCTCCGGAGGAACCAGACGGCGACCACGCTCTCCAATCGAGCCCACCGACGTGTTTTTCAGGCAGCCGCAGCTAGCAACAACGTGCGCTGCTAGCATATAGCATGTCCAAGGGATTGAAGGCCGCAGACCTGCCTTGGAGACGAAGATCTCCCTCTGTAAAGCAGCTGACGCCAGCTCAACATGTGTGCCTCTCCCACGGTTTGCCTTGTCGGGGACTGCAGCGCGGAGGACGATGACCCAACGATCCACCTGGCTTCGTTACTCCCCTCGCTGCCGGAGAATCTGCACAAGACCTGATGAAGCCCATCGCGGACGCGCTGTTCAGAGCAGCTTCAAACCATGCTGGCGAAGTGAAACAGTCGGAGGAGGTGCCAAAAGCTGTTCGCCACCTCATCAAGCCGCGCGGCCCACCCCGTCCCCGCTGGAGGGACCGTCGCGAGCAAGTTTTCGACTTTTCCACGGCCGCGGCTCTCGCTGAGTTCCACCACCAGCCCCGCCCGTCAGAATCCAGCCCTCTTCACTCCGGCAGCCTGCAGCTCAGCGTTTCCCCAGAGTTCGCCTGCAAGACAGCGCTCTGGGCAAACAATCGCAGAGCTCATGAGAGAGAAAGCTCTCAAATGACGGTCTCCGGAGGGTGTGTGTAAAAGTGACACGAAAGTTGAAATAAATCATCATTAATGATCCAAGTGTCTGTTTTTTAGCCAGTCTGTAAGCCCGGACGAGCTCACAGCGGCCGCACACATAAGAGCGCACTCGTGGGATGAAACAGCCCCACACACGAGCCGGTGTCCTTAAAGGTTTTTAACTCACCGTCGCTCTAAGACATGACGAGTCGATCACAGAACAGCCTCCACACATGAGCCGGTGTCCTTAATTAAAGGTTTTTAACTCACCGTCGCTCTAGACATGACTAGTCGATCACAGGACAGCCTCCACACATGAGCCGGCGTCCTTAATTAAGGGTTTTTAAACTCACCGTCGCTCTAGACATGACGAGTCGATCACAGAACAGCCTCCACATGAGCCGGTGTCCTTAAATAAAGGTTTTTTAAACTCACCGTCGCTCTAGACATGACGGGTCGATCACGGCACAACGGTAAGCGAAAATAACTCATTACCAACTAGAACTGC